TGGGAGGAGGAAGAGCAAGAGAACAGGAGAGGAGGACATCAGGGGCCAGCCACCCAGCTACACAGCAAGTCGCAGAGAAAGAAGTAAAGAAAGGTATATAGAAACACAGAAAGATAAAAGCTCAGAGGCAAAAGGTATTCAGGTTAATTTAAGATAAGAAAAACTTCCTGGAATCAAGCTAAGCTAAGGCTGGACATTCATAACTAACAATAAGCCTCTGTGTGTGATTTATTTGGGAGCTGGATGGCAGCTTCCCCCCCCCAAAAAAAATCCAAAAAAGTAAAATGTCACACAACAGGATGTAAAATGGTATGAAAACTGTGATTTGGCTCATATCAAGTTATATGTGAAAGACCAGAAGGAAATACACACACGTGATTGTAGCAGGGCTTTGCAGTACGGTGTGAGCTCACCCGCCTGCCGCTGACTTCTTTTTGGAGGTTAGGTTCACAGCTCAAGTGAAAATCTGCCAAGGCAAACTGCATCCAAACCCAAGCACCAGTGCTCCACCCGCTCAGGAGGGGTCATTTTAGTCATGTGACCTGTAACTAAATGTAACTAGTCAATGTAACTAAATTTCTCTGTGGGCTACAGTTGCCTTGTTCATCAAATGGGCCTGAAACTCGTCTCTATCTGGAGGTTGTGGCAAAGATAAATCTAAGTTGTGCGTGTTGGCAGCCTGACCCAGTGCAACTCACAGACCGCCAGTGGGAATGATGTTTTCTCTCACTGTGTTTTCCGAGTTCCCTATAATTATAGTTTTCTTGAAAATTCTAAAACTAATAAGTACAATTTTTTTATTACATTTTCAAAGGGGTCATGCTCTATTCCCCGGAGATCTCAAGCCTGTTCCTGGGAATGTTGTGGAAATCTTTCTTCCAAGCCGGCTGTGGTTAATCTCAGCTGGACAGCAATGATCTTCGACCAGGGCTAAATGTTTGTGTCCTGAGGAGTCCTGGGAATTTTGTTTACAGAGGACATTCTGTCCCGGGGTCCTGACTTCTCCATCCCCCAGCAGCTGCTGTCTGGACTGAGCACCCCAGAGAGGCTGCCTCCACCCACCCCAAGTTCTGGTGTCAGCATCATCAGTGGCCTGGGGCTTGACAGTCCTGTTCCCTCGGGTACAGCTTCTAATTTCTTTTCTTCTTTTCTCTGCTCCTCCCCTCCCTTTTCCTTTCTTTCAAAAACATTTTAGGTTTATTTATGTGTGAATGTTCTGTGCACCATGTCTATGCCTAGTATCGGTGAAAGCCAAAAGAGGTGTCAGGTCCCTGAACCGGAGTTATAGGCAGTTGTGAGTCACTTTGTGGGTGCTGGGAACCAAATCCAAGTTCTTTGCAAGACCAGCAAATTCTCTTAACCACCACCTCCACCCTCCTCTCCTTTCCTTTTTTTCAGTATTGGGTTTTGAACTTAGGTCTCGTGTGTGCTAGGCAAATGCCCTTCCACTAAGTTACAAATCCAGCTTTCTTTTTTCTTTTCTTAAAGATTTATTTTTGTCCTGGGTCTTTCAGCATGTCAAGCACAGCACAGCTGCTCAGCTGTGTCTGTGACATCAGGGCCAAGAGCAAGTGTCTATTTCTACGTTCAGCGTTCAGAAGCCAGTGAGCATTAAGGATGTTTATAGCCTGACATATTGCAGAGCTATGATGAGATGGCCCTGGGGTTTGGCTCTGATGCTCTTGGTCAGACCCTGGTGTCAGAGATTTCAGGGCTCAGCAAAGGGTCACTTGGTCAGCATTTTAGCAAGATACAACTTTAGAGTTGAGGGTGTGTGGAAACTGATTTCTCTGGGGGTCCTTCAGAAGGGTCAGGAAAACACAAGGAGCTATTTATCCATCCCTTTCCATTTTTCCAGATCCAGAAGCTGGGAAAAATAAGTCTCACCTCTTGGCCATGTGACGGGTCAGGACAGGTTCAGGTATGATTTAAGGCCATCGAGTTCAGGTGAGGCCTCTGGAACCTCACCAGGGACCTACTGAACCAGCCAACCACACAAGCTCTGGGCAGTGCCGCACTTCTCATCCTGATAGCCCACATCCTAAATTATGAAGGACATTTGGGTTGACTTGGGTTTGACTGTTCTTCCAAGACCGGTGAAGTGAGGACGGTGGTAGTGGCACTAGGGGTGGGGGACCTCTAAGACCCAACCTTCCCATCCATCCAACTGCACAGGGCCCTTGAAGTGAGAATTATGTAGGAGGGGAAACTGGCCTGTAGGTGCTGTGGCACAAATTTGTTAATTCTTGAAAGAAAAAAAAAAGATTAATTTTAGGGCCAGAGAGATAGCTCAGAAGTTGAGTGCTTTGGCTCCTATCAAAGACCAATGTTAAATTTCTAGCACCTTCACAGTGGCTCATGAGTGCCTTTAACTCTACCTTCAGGGGATCCAGTGCCTCTGGATGCTACAGGCACCTGCACTCACAGACACATAACCGCCCACAGACATATACACATAATTTTAAAATGTTGAATATTTTAAAATGAGTTTTATACACACATACACATGTGACAAATAATAATATAAAGCCTTTAAGATTATGTGGTGTACTTTTATATATGTACTTATATGTGTGTGAAGTGTGATGTATGTAATGAAAAGAGTATCAGATTCTCTGTAGCAGGAGTTGTAGGTTGTTGTGAGCTGTCTGAAATGGATGCGGCGAATCATGCCTGGGTCCTCTGCAAGAGCAGCAAGTGCTCCAGCCCCCCCCCCCCAGCTGTCTCTCCAGTCCCTCTTTTTACTTTTTATTTTGTTTTTACTTTTTTTTGTTTTTGTTTTTCTGAGACAAGGTTTCTCTGTGTACCCCTGACTGTCCTGGAACTCACTCTGCAGACTAGGCTGGCCTTGAACTCACAGAGATCTGCCAGTCTCTGCCTCCAGTGTGCTGGGATCAAAGGTGTGTGCTACCACCACCCAGCTTTACTTTTTACTTGGAGACAAACAAGGTTTTGCTGAGGTGTGTTGGGAACTCACCATGTAAGTCAGCATGCCTCAAGCTCTCAGCCTTCCTGCCTCTGCCTCTTGAGGAACTGTGTGGAAAGGACCGTCACCACACCTCTGAGTTGTGACTTCTTGACACAGAAACAGAGGGAAACTTTTACTGTGCCAAATCCAGGAGTGGGTAACAAAGTTTCTGTTGGAGGTGATGAACATACTTTAAAAATCAGCAGTAAAAATGTAGACTACAAACTTTGAGTTATAAGATGAACACAACAGGCTGGTGGTGCATGTGGATTTCTGTTGTTCTGGTGTTGATGAGTGTGTGTGTGTACGTGTGTGTGTGTGTGTGTGTTTAAATTAAGGTTAATTGTTAAAATTATGTGTAAGTCTATGTGTCTGCACATGATTGCAGGTGCACTCAGCAATCAGAAGAAGGCATCATATCTCTGGGAGCTGGAGTAACAGACAGTTGTGCACTGCCATATGGATGCTGGGAATTGATCCTGGGTCCTCTGGAAGAGCAACCAGTGCTCTAACCATGGAGACATCTCTCCAGCCTGTATGTGTTGAATCTGATGATCATTGCACAGTGTACCAGATCATCATTTTGTATGTGTTATGGGTATTCATATGAAAGGATAAGGAGCAGAATTATAGCTCAGCGGCACAGTGCTTGCCTAGTGTGCACAAAGTCATAAATTCAATCCCCAGCACAGAAAGATAAACAAAAATCCAGGATGAGAAGGAAGAGCAGACTAAACGATACCATGACAGGAATTCGGGTGTAGGCCCGGGATGCACACAGCATTTGACCATTTGACCGCAAGACCTTAGATAACCGCTCCCCTGGGGCTCAGCCCTCAGCCTCTTGCCGAGGTGTCCCACCGAGAGACGTCCTGAAGCACAGATATCGATGTCTGGAGCTCGGTCTGCAGAGCACCTAGCCAGTGTTATTTACCTCTCCACCTCCAACACAGAGTAGGAGGTAGAAACAAACCTGGCACAAAGTACCAGGGTACTATCATTTTTCCTTCTTAGGATGGGCTGCATGTCCGCCTTAAGTATTTGCTAGCTTTTAAACTAAAACCTCCAAAAATGAGGACGGGAAGAGAAACCTGAGGAGGGCTTGCAGTCTTGGACTCCTCTGAACTGACTGCTGCCATGATGCATGAAGGGCCTTCCAGGGAGGGCACAGTTAAGAGTCCAGATGCTATAAGAGACTGAGAAAGGCTGGGTCTCCAAACAGCCCAACTTTGCCGTGAAGACAGCAGAGGACAGATGTCCTTGGCTTGGTCCTCTTTTCCCCCTACCCACCTCCCCTCCCTCCGTTCATACCTTTCATTGCTGTCTTTCCCATCCTCCCCCTGGGAGACGCATTTCTGTCTTTTTTTTTATCTAACGCAGCGGAAATGAATCATCTCTGAGTTTGTTTAGTAAATAGTTTTCATGCCTCCGGACCCCAGCTGTCTCATCTACTGGTTCCTTTATTATGGGTGCTCCTGACCTAGCAACCCCCAACCCCCAAACCTAGTCAAGACCCCTAAGGATTAACTGCTTCTGGAATGCGCTTCTTCTCCAGGTCTGGTGGCTCTACCTCCTCCACCGTGGGAATGATGAGGAAGGCAGCCTAGCCTTCCAGATGAGTCCCACCGGCTGAGCAAGAGGTAGAAGAAGCAAGGAAAGCATCGTATGCTGAGAGCTTTGTGTGCTCTCTCAGGATTCCTCAGAACCCTCATCTTACAGATGAGACCAAGATTCGGAGAAGCGATGGCACAAACTTCCTTCACAACAGCTAGGACAAGACAGAGTCGGAGCCAACACTCATATCTCGAATTTGTGGAATCCTGGATTCATCCCACTATATCATGCTACCGTGTGTGTGTGCACACGTGCACGTGTGTGTGTGTGTGTGTGTGTGTGCATGTGTTGAATGTGGGTACGGGAAAGGCTCGGGTCCTTCGGGATAGAAACCCAACATCTCTGTGCACTAAGCTTTGTGTGTGTCATGGATGAATGACGGGAGCCCAGAGTTAGAGGGGATGGAGTCAGAAAAGGGATGTAGTGAAATAGGTTCGAAACCCCCCAAGCCCTGCCCACCTCACAGGGATGGAATTTCACAGGCTCCAGCTTTGTCTGGGTTGGTCTACTTCCTGGTGAATCCAGACCTGAAACTTTCAATTTCTCAAAATGAACAGAGGCTGTTTCCCTGAACAGAGTCTTCTGTTTCCCAGAATAGAAAATGGGCACTGAACTCTCGTGAGGCCATAGGGATTGGAATGAACACAGGTATCTAAGCTGCTGTGGTGCTGCATAGATCACCCGTGTGGTCAGGGCTACAGAGGGCCGATTGCCCCGTGAAGGAATTGTAGCAGGACCGATGGAGGGACGGAGACTGGGGATCATGGAGGGTGTTCTGAGGAGAGGGCAACGGCATCTAGCTGTCTCTAAACAGATGTAAGACCTGCAGAACACTTTAACACAAGTTAGAGCATGCTCAGTGTTTCCGAGGAGCTCTGGAGTGCAGACATGCCTGCTGTGTCCCTTTCCTGAAGAGACATGAGCAAATGTCTCTTCGCCCTATGCAGGACACCAATGATAGACCAAAGAAGCTGTGCCCAAGTCTAGCTTGATGAACCAATGGGTTTATTAAGGCTACTTATAAGAACATGGGTGACTCAAAAGCAGCAGCATTGCCAAAAAGCCCATCCAGTGTGAACGCCCACCCACGAAAGCTGTTTAGCTGTATTTCCTGCTCTGCTTACAGGCAGTGCCAGCAACCTTGTGAGTCTTCACTTTCTGAACTTTATGAGCCACCCTCATCCGCTCAGAACAGAATGTTTCACGAGGAAATAGTTACACGCTCTTATTATTTATTTATTAGTGTCCCCCCATCCCCCAGACAGGTTTCTCTGTAGTTTTGCAGCCTGTCTTGGAACTAGCTCTTGTAGACCAGGCTGGCCTCAAACTCACAGAGATCCACCTGCCTGGGATTAAAGGCGTGTGCCACCACCACACGGCTCTTATTTTTATTTCATGTGCATTCGTGTTTTGCCTACATATAGGTTATGTAAAGGTGTCTGATCCCCTGGAACTAGAGTTACAGTTATGAGCTGCCATGTGGTTGCGGGGAATCAAACTTAGGTCCTTTGGAAGAGCAGCCATTGCTCTTAACCACTGAGCCATCTCTCCGGCTCCTCTACTGTCCTTACATGCCCCTTTTTCAGATGTGGAAACTGAGTCTAGAGAGACTGGAGACTGAATAAACCATGCACTCGCAGTCAGCAAGCAGCCAGTCAGGATTATTTCTGGTGCATTCCTGTCCCTCCCCTCAGGTTGTGGAACTGGACTGCCGGCCGTGGGGGCGGGGTATATTGTCCAGGGGCGTGGTCGAGGACCTGTAGGCGGGGCATGCCGTGCCGGGGGCGGGGCGGCGGGCGCACACGCCCGCAGGTTTGGCGAGCCGAGTCCTTCTCCCGAGCTGGGCAAAGACAGGACCATGAACGTCCAGGAGCGGGAAGCGCGGAGTCGGCGCAGCTAAGCCCCGCTGAGACCTCCGGTCCGGCCATGGGCGACCGTGAGCGCAACAAGAAACGGCTGCTGGAGCTGCTGCAAGCTGCGGGCACCGGCAACACGCACTGCGCCGACTGCGGGGCTGCGGGTAAGGGCACCGCGTGAGGGGCAGGTGCAGCCAGGCATGGCCCTAGCCCCTGGCTCGCCGGCCCCTTCTCTAAGAGCCCATCCAAGCGCGACCCAGACTCGTCCCTCGCCTGGGACCTCAGTCCTTCTCGCTGGAGCGTCTCCGGCGGCCCCGACGGTTCTCCGTCTCCCTGCTCCCGAAGCCCCGGACCTCAGTCCTCACTTCGCACCAGATGCGGTCCATGCCCATGGTCCCTCTCACTTTCCCACCGGGCATCCTACCACCCTAGACATCGTCTCCGACCCTGGGCTCTTCCCGCGCCCTCGGACCCTGAGGTCCTCACCTCCGATGCCTCCTGGGCCCCCGCGACCCTTCACTGCGGCGCGTTGACCCTGAGGATGCTGATGCGGCTCCCAGCCCTGAGCCTCCGAGCGGGTCCCTCACTTGCCCCTTCTTCTCGGTTCCTCCTTCCGAGGTCTCGTTGGTGTCGCTGTGCCAAAGGGTGGGCTAAGCACGGTTTATGATGTTATCTCAGTTGTCCAAGGTTGGGGACCAAAAGAGAAAAGATTACCAGCGTGGGCAGAGCTGGCCTCCGAGCCAGAATCCTAACACCCCGGCCCAGCCTGTCCCTGCATCCCAGCCCAGTCCTGCCTCGGCTCAGCGGAGATCCTGCCCTTCCACCCCGCAGATCCTGATTGGGCCTCTTACAATCTGGGGATTTTCATCTGTCTTCACTGCTCTGGCGTCCACCGCAACTTCCCAGACGTCAGCAAAGTTAAATCCGTGCGACTGGACTTCTGGGACGACAGTATGGTGGAGGTAGAATGAAGCGCGTTTGCAGATTCTTGGAGTTGGGCGTGGCGAGAGGAGGCGGGACACAGGTGTTCCTCCTAGTCCTCAGAGGAGGAAATGAAGCCTAGAGAGGTGCTATGAGTAATGAGAGGAAACAGACTAGAAGGTGGTGGCTTAGACGAAGGCCCTGAGTTCAAATCCTAGCTAATCACTTGCTTCTCTTACAAGGGACGAGCCCCTAAGGAGTGCCTTTAAGTGTGTGTGTGTGTTTAAAGATATGTGTGTACCTAAGTGTATGTGTGTGCACACCACATATATGCAGGAGCCCACAGAGTTCAGAAGAAGATAACAGATCCCCTGGAATTGGAGTTACAAGCCGTTGTGAGCAGTCGTAGTGGCGCTGGGAATTGAATTCAGGTCTTCTGCAAGACCAATAAGTGTTCTTAACTACTGAGCCATCTCTCTAGCCCTTGGGCTAATTCCTTAACTTAGCTATGGATTCTATTTCCACATCCGTGTTATGGACGCGCACCACCCTCTCACTGGCTGCTGTAAGAATAAACACAGTCGGCCGCCGATGGTGGGCCCGCCTTTGATCCCATCACTTGAGAAGCACAGGCAGGTGAATCTCTGTGAGTTTGAAGCCAGCCTGATCTACAAAAAGAGTTCCAAGGCCGGGCGGTGGTGGCGCACGCCTTTAATCCCAGCACTCGGGAGGCAGAGGCAGGCGAATCTCTGTGAGTTCGAGACCAGCCTGGTCTACAAGAGCTAGTTCCAGGACAGGCTCCAAAACCACAGAGAAACCCTGTCTCGAAAAATTAAAAAAAAAAAAAAAAAAAAAAAAAAAAAGAGTTCCAGGACAGTCAGGGCTACACAAGAAACCCTGTCTTGAAAAATGGGGGGGGGGGGGGGGGAGAATAAAATACAGGTTCAGCACAGACACAAAGTGAATCAGCAGTTGCTGTCTTTCACGGGAGCCAGGAACTGAGGAGAGAGATGTCCTTTTTCATAGCCCACGGTCCTTCACGCCTCCCCAGCCTACTCTGCTTGCCTGCCCAGTTAGCATGGAGGAGCCCTCTGAGGAGAGACAGGTCTCCACCAGGCTGGTGAGCTGAGGGAAGCAAGTGATACCGTTAAGCATTCCTATTCTATGGCAGGATCTGGACTGTGCCTGTCACTATGCAGTCCTCACAGATGTGACTCTAAAGTCCTTGAAGGAAGGAGCACTTACTGATGAGACAGACTGGCTGTCAGGCAAGGCTGTGCAGGGGAAACACAGGGACTCTGCCAGCCAGCCCACACGCCCACAGGGTTGCCTTCGAACTCCCCTGTAATGTCTTCACTGGGACAGGGGAACTCCCAGAGTCTCTCATGCTCGGCGGGGGTCCACAGGCAATACCTGCTTATGCCATAGCCCCAGCGCTCCCAGGGAGGGGGATAGTGCTCACTGTGTCCAGAGATAGGATTTACAAACCTGCTGTTCCTGCCCTTACCCCAGCTATGTCCTGTCCACTGACACATCAGCATATCACTGGACAGAATGCCCATTCTGAGTCTCAGACGACAGGGGGTATTCTGTTCAGCTGGCAGCCACTTCCTTGCTCCAGCTAGCCCAGTCTCCTGTAGACTTTAAGGGCTGGAGTGGGGTGAAGCTTGGCTGTCTGTGGAAAGAGGGAGAGAAAGAACACGAGCTTTGGGACCCAGCAGAGACGGGTTGACATCGTCACTTTGTATTAACCAGCTGTGCTGCCTTTAGCAAGCCACCTAACCTCTCTGAGTCCAGTGCCCTCTTTAAAAAAGAATAGCAGTGTTTAAATGGTTGAGAGGACCCAGTAAACTATCGTCTGTGAACTGTAAAGAGCTGTTTCTATATAAGCCATGGTTATCAGTCCCCCATGTTAGAACAAACTGAGGCTTTCCATGCCTGGTGAGATGCCACCTTAGAGGCAGGTTCTCCTGGCCCTGCCCCAGAGCCAGTGAAAACCACAGGCTTTTTACTTTTGATTTTTATTTTTTGAAACAGGGTCTCTCTACATAGCCCTAGTTGCCTTGGAATTCACTATGCAGAACAGGCTGTCCTGGAACTCACAGAAATCCACCTGTCTCTGCTGGGATGGAAGGTGTGTGCAGCACCACGCCCAGCCACCACCATCTTCTGGGTAGACTGTGGTTTCATTTCGCATATTTTTTTTTCAGGTTCTACAATTACGTCCATTTGCTCTTGTCTTGCAGTTCATGACCCACAATGGGAATCTCAATGTGAAAGCCAAATTTGAAGCCAGAGTCCCAGCTTTCTACTATGTCCCTCAGGCCAGCGACTGCTTGTAAGTCAGGGACTCCCTAGCATCTGGGGAGGGTCTTCCCAGCCCTTCTCTGTTCCCGGTACCTTTGTCTGAGGTGAGTTCTCCTGTGACCTGGTTGGAAGGTTTTTCAGGGATGAATTTGGTGTCATCACAGAGGGCACACAGGAATCCTGGATTCAACCAGGTGTGGTGGTCGAATTGAAGGTAGGGTCAGGAATTGAAGGTCAGCCTCAGCTACAGTGAGTTGGAAGACAGCTTGAGCTACCTGAGGCTCCGCCTCAAACAAAACAAAAGCCGTTAATATTTGTGGATCTGTACCCATGTGCTGTTGGCAAACATTCTCAGCGACTGTGACTGTTACCCTCTGTTTGAGAGACAGGACGTGATGGGTGTGAAGGAGCACAGACTTGGGTGTGGATTATCTGGTACCACGAGATCATAGCATGACATTAGGAAAAAACAGTATGGCAGGAGGGTTGTAAAGGTGAGGGCTGAGGAAGACCATAGAACCACTAAAAGGCTGACTCCTTGAGCCTGGGCCTCCTTCTCAGGGATTCGGCCTCATTGGCGCTGTTAGATAGTGTCCTGTGGTCTCAGGAAGGTTATTCCTCTGGGTAGACACAGTCTCGTGCAGGCATGTCTGGAAAGTAGCATTTGAACCCCTGAGTCTCTGCGTGGTGCTTTCGGGCCTTGCACAAATGCATAACTGTAATGGGTGGTTCTGTAGCTTTGCAGTTACATGACCCAAGGTAAGAAAGCTTTTTGTTGTTGTTGTTGTTGTTGTTTTTTGTTTTTCGAGACAGGGTTTCTCTGTAGCTTTGGAGCCTGTCCTGGAACTAGCTCTGTAGACTAGGCTGGCCTCGAACTCACCGAGATCCACCTGCCTCTGCCTCCCAAGGGCTGGGATCAAAGGTGTGTGCTACCACCACCCAGTAGGGAAGCATATCTTTTTATGCAGAAGGCCTCAGGTCCCCAGCCCCAACACTACTGCTACCCAGCTATAAGAAGCTGGCCAAGCCACCAAGCCCCTCGGATGTCCTACTGCATGTAGTGCAGGTCCCTCTTCAAAAGTATAGACAACAAAACCAACAAAACGTAAATAAAATGACATCATTTGTTAAGTATCTCCCCTGTCAGCTAGCATGGTAGTGTTAATGCATTTCTTAGTGCCAGCCTGACAGTGATACCTGGTCCCTGGCGCCTCTGAGGACTATGTTGGCCATCACTTGAAAGGGCCTCTCCCAGCTTGCCTCATTTGCCACCGTTCAGCCTTTGCTCCAAGCCCCTGGACAGCATCTCTTTTTTTTTTTTTTTTTTTTTTTTTTGATTTTCAAGACAGGGTTTCTCCGTAGCTTTTGGTTCCTGTCCTGGAACTGCTCTTGTAGTCCAGGCTGGCCTCGAACTCACAGAGATCCATCTGCCTCTGCCTCCCAAGCGTTGGGATTAAAGGGGTGCACCACTACCGCCCAGCTATGTCTTTGTATTTTAATCCCTGTTGTTTAGGGCTGGTGGCTGCTTTCCTCCAGTTCTAAAAATAAGGAAAAGGAGAAGGGGAGATGGAAGAACCACACCAGGGGCTCCAGTGTAACCCCGTCTTTCTTATTCATTGGCGCTTGTCCCTCCATCTTTCTCAGCCAGACTTTTACCAGCAAATCCGCTTGCAGGTTCATACTGCTTTACCCAGCACAGCCCAGAGAGGACTTCCGGTCAGTCTCAACTTTTGATCCCTTTGACCCCGAAAGGCCAGGGCAACCCAGAGTTCCAAGTGACCTGTTTAGGCCAGATGCACAGCTCCAGGTCACTCCTGGTCCCAGGGCATTTGGTCAGCTAACCTTTGAAACATGTACCTGGAAAAGATAAGAAGGTACAAACTGAAAATAAGTTTGTTCTCAGCTGCCCAGTTTTACTGCAGCCAAGAATAACATTTGGTCAATTGACATTAGCATTAAGAACCTACTGTGGGCTGGGTGGTGGTGGCACTCACCCTTAATCCCAGCACTTGGAAGGCAGAGGAGGATCTCTGTGAGTTCAAGGCCAGCCAGGGCTACACAGAGAAACCCTGTCTTGAAAACAAAAGCAAAAAAAGACACCCCCCCCTAAAAAAAACAGACAAAACCAAACAAAAACCAGAGCCTGCTGTAAGCCTGGTGTTGTGAAGCACACCTTAGCTTTCTGGAAACAGAAGCAGGCAGAGCTCTGTGAGTTGCTGGCCAGCCTATACAGTAAGACCCTATCACCTTTAACAACAATGACAAAAGCCTATTGTGTGTTTAGTACGGTGCTAAGTTCTTTACATACAACTGCCCAGTCCAACAGCACTAGGGAAGGCAGGTATATTACTGGCTCATTTCCCAAGCTTAGAGATGTTCGGTAATGTTCAGTAATTTAGTCTGGGGGTATAGCCCAGTCGGGACAGAACCTGCCTAACATGTTTATATCCCTGAGTTGGGTCCCCAAGCTACATATAGCTGGTGTGGTGGCACACACTTGTAATCTCAGCACTTGGGAGGTGGGAGCAGGAAGGTCATGAGTTCAAAGTCATCCTCAGTTACTTTAGACACCTCGGGGTCAGTCTACTCTAGGCAGTGTGGGGATTCAGAGTCCATCAGCAGGTCCAGGACGTTTTTGGCTCAAATTTACAAGAAGAGTAAAGCACGATTAATAAAAACTCAGAGACAGAAATTGGGGTTCAACCTAAAGGTCAGAAAAGTAAAACAGCCAGCCACTGGCTCTTACCTCTACCTCACTCCAAAATGGCGATCCTGCCTCCAGGAATCTCAGAATGAGACTGAACATGAGAACTGTTTCCTCCCCTTTTATAAATCCTCTCTAGGACAGGAACTAAAGGTGTATACCACTGGGATTAAAGGCATGCACTGCCTGGTCTCTATGGCAAACTAGCGTGGCTACTGGGATTAAGGGTGTGTGTCATTGTTGCCTGGTCTGTAAGGCTGGCTAGTGTGGCTGTTTTACTTTTCTGGTCCTCAGGCAAGCCTTATTTATTAAAATACAAGTGAAATTCCACTACAGCAGGGAGTTGGGGTGGGGGTGCTGGGGACAGGGTAAGTGTCTAGGGAGTCATATCTTCATCATTGACTTAGAGGGCTAAGGGACAGTCTAGTGCTTCTCAACCCACTAGAAGACAAATTTCCCTGGTGTGACGTCTGGAGAGCAGAAGCTCCTGGAATCTAGGAGGTTGAAGCTAGAGGTATACTGCCGCACATTACATAAACCACCCACCCCCGCTGCAGAGAATCATCCAGCACCAATGTTAACTATCCTAAGGCCAAGAACCTCCCGGGTATCCTGAGAAGGGGAGGCTGTCCCCACCCACCACTGAAGGGTCTTGGAAAGTCACTGTGGGAATGGGAAGACAATGCATCAGACACAGCTGACCAAGAGGTCTCTTTTTAGGGTCTTAAAGGAGCAATGGATTCGAGCTAAGTACGAAAGACAGGAATTTATAGCTGACGAGAAAGCTGTCTCAGCCCCAGGTAAAGTTACCATGTTGTCTGCATGTATGTATGTGCACCACGTGTATGCAATGCACCCAGAGGCAAAGACAGGGTATGGGATCCCCTGAGACTGGAGTTGTGACCGTTGTGAGCCGTGTGGTTGTTGGGATTTGAAGTTGGGTCTTCTGGGAGAGTAGCCAGCGCTCTCAGCCCTGAGTCATCTCTGCAGCTGAAGTTTTTTGTTTAATGTTTTGAGGTCTATGTACTAATGAGCTCTAGAGAAATGAAAGGTGGAGGTAGACTAGGTGAGGGGCTTGAGCCTCTTTTTCCACACTCATGCAGGGCACAACCTGGCTGGCAGCCCTAAACCCAGGACAGTGTCCGGTCCACTGACTTGAATTCTCAAGCTGCCGCTGCCCCGAGAACAAAGCTTCCAGGATTTCCAGGATGCAAACTATCCCTCAAACTAGTGTCTTGGAGTCACTCTTATACTCTTCTTTTTCTATGAGGCAGGGTTTCTCTGTGTAGCCCTGGCTGTCCTAAAACTCACTCTGTAGACCAGGCTGGCCTCAAATTTAGAGATCCACCTGTCTCTGCCTCCTGAGTGCTGGGATTAAAGTCATGAGCCACAACTGCCATCCCTAAATTAAAAAAAAAAAAAAAGAAAAGAAAAGAAAAAAAAAGAAGACAAAGAAAAAGTCGGGTGGTAGTGACACACACCTTTAATTCCAGCACTCAGGAAGCAGAGGAAGGTGGATCTCTGTGAGTTCAAGGCCAGCCTGGTCTACAAAGTGAGTTCCAGGATAGCCAGGGCTGTTACACAGAGAAACCCTGTCTTGAAAAAAAAAATAACCTTATTTTTATGTGTATGATTTTATGTGTATGGCCTGAATGTGTGTGCGCACCACATGCAACACTAGTACCCTCGGAGTCAGAAGAGAGCGTTTGATCCCCTGGAACTGGAGTTATGGGTGGTTGTGAGCAGTTATGTGGGTGCTGGGTCCTGGGTCCTCTGCAGAGCAAGTGCTCGTAACTGCTGAGCCATCTCTCCAACATCTTGTCCTTTCTTTGCTATGGCAAGCTGTGTGGCCAAGGCTGGTATTGAAATCATAACCACTCTCCTTCCTTAGCCGAGATGCTGGGATTACAGGCCCTGCCACATCTGTCTTCCAGTGAAGTGGGTTGACCTCAGGGAGAGTCAAGACAGAGAAGTTTTGTGCAGTAGGTGGCTACTGAAATTCTATAAAGTTGGCCAAGGTAGGACCCTGTGTCCTGCACCTGAAATAGCCCAGTTAGATTTGGCCATATTTGAGTGTCAGGTGGGGGATCTTCCTACCCTCAGGAACTTGAGGCATTCTTTAGCTTTTTATGTTGACTTCATGATTTACTTCTTCTTGCCCTTGGTGGCTCAGGTGACAGAGAAGGGTTCCTGTGGAAGCGGGGGCGCGACAATGCCCAGTTCCTGAGAAGGAGGTTTGTCCTTCTGGCAAGAGAAGGCCTCCTGAAGTACTACACGAAAGAGGAGGTAAGAGGCCAGGCTGCCTGTGCTTCCCCAAGATCGCTCCGCTCGCCAAGGCCTTCGTGGACAGTCCCTTGTATCTTTTTTTTTTTTTTGACATTTAAGAATTTTTTTTATTGATATCTTTGAGCTCTACATTTTTCTCT